CATGTATGTATGCTGTTGCCTGTACTCTTATTCTTTTGATAAGTAACAAATTCCTTGGGTCCAAAACATGAGAGTATGTAGAAAAGGAGTGTGTTTGTTGCCTGTATTCCCGCAAGATGTGTAAGCATGTCTCATTTCTACACTCTTGTTTTGAATAAAATTGCTTAAGTCTGATTGAGACTGTTATAAATTAATTGACATCAAATAAATATTCATGTTGCCCATATCAAATAAATAAAGAGTCTTGTTGCCCATATGATAAGTAGCATAGGAAATGGGTTAGACATATCATATGAGAATATGAGATGGTTAAAACAGCATAATTGTAAAGAAGTCAATAGAATACAGATTAAGATATTTTAACTATACCACATAATTAAATCGCTGCAAGTAAGCTGATGGAATGCAGGTTAAGATGTTTCACACTTTGCTTGAGAAGGTAGAACATCACCTCTGCAAACAAGTCCGCAAAATACAGATTACGTTGATTTGGAGTATATAGGGTCATGCATAATTTACTGGAGGATATGGACCTTGGAGTGGAATAGAAAATGGGGATGGACCTAACTCACAATAGTTGATAGTTTAAGTCCTTGAGCTGAGTGAAGTTGAGTGGGCTGGTATATACTTTTTTTTTTTTTGGCAAAGGTTGTATAATAGGATACTAAATATATGTGTGTGGATTTGATGATATGTTGACTGACATTTTACTATTTGATGTTGACTTTCTTTTAGTAGTATGTCTTGGTATTTTAGCTTTTGATGTTGACTATCTTTTAGTAGTATCTCTCTTATGTCTTATGTTTGATATTAACAGCAAATGGAACCGAAATGTGTGCTATTGACATTTTGCATTAATTGTGTGTTTTTTTTTTACTTGCAAAATGTCTGGTTTGGGCTCCTGAACTTTCTATTCTTTCCTTTTTCCATGATGCTTATAGATGCAGGATGCTTATTTTCATATGCTATCACATAAAATTTTTGAGAATTTAAATTATCCTAATTTGTTGGGCTTTATATTTTGGTTGAGTTGATACTGCTCAGCTTATATGACTAAACAAACCTTGTGATTCACAGTATGTTCAACGGGACAGTTCCAAGGTTGAAGGTAGCAAGGACAGAGCATACATTCTAGTTCGAAAACATGATGACAAACAACTTGTTGACAAATCTGGTACTTCAGCTTCTGCAGTGTCAGAGGAAAGTGGTATGCCTCTACTTCTGATTCTGATGCCTGGTCTTTGTGGGACTCACTTCTCTTCTTCCAAAATGTTATGCACCAATTTATGCTTTAATTTATCTCATTGAAAATTATTCTGCTACTTCTGTTCTCTTTTTATATTTTGACTTTTATATATTTAACCAGACTTACTTTGTTTACCCTTTGCTTACTATTATGCCTACATTAAAATGATTGTGATCAAACCCATTGAATTTGTGTCAGGAGTTTCTGTTTCAGCTGATAGTGGGAAGAAGAAAATCCTGCTCTTGAAGGGAAAAGAAAAAGAAATTCCTGATGTAAGCTGGTTCTTTTTTGAAGACTAAAACCTGATTCAAAGTGTTTTTGAAATGATTTACATACGAGGGGACTTGCATCATTAATTGTTGCAGAGTATTATTATTTTTAAATACATTGCTTTACATAGTTTGGTGATCTTAGCCTAACAGTTTATGTTACTTGATGAGTTGATGCATTTTACAACCAAAATTGCTACCCTTTGTGTGGTAAGATTGTTTATCAATTTGGAAAAGGGGGATTTGGCGGTTTTGGGGGGTGGGGGTGGGGGGTGGGGGGGTGGAGAAGAAAGGCTGAATAGCTAGAAGGGGTCTGGTCAGCTCTGGTTTCTGTTACACTTCCCTGAAATGGTAATAGTATAACAGTTATAATTGTGTTATTTAATGTGTAGATTTCTCTTGGTGCATCACTGCAGCAGAATGTTGCATCTCATCTCAAGAATTCACTTACTTCATCTGCTCCTAAGCCAAATCAGAGGCGTGAGGCCAATGGAAGGATCATCAGAAGTATACTTCTCAAGGATGCTCGCCAGAATCAGTCATCATATACTGCTCAATCAGAACAGCAAGTCCCAGAGAGGGAGAAAAGACCTCCTAGGCCACCAAGTGTTCAATTGTCTCAGAGGGATTGTAATGGATTACCTGAGGATAAGATTGCTGGGAATGATTCACTCGGTGTCCATGTGGATAAGATGGAAAAACGTACAAGGAGTAGGGATAGGCCAGATCGTGGTGTCTGGACTCCACTTCGACGTCCTGATAATTCACATGCAAGTGATGAATATTTGTCATCATCTACCTCTCAATCTACCCACGCTCAAGATTCTGCTGAAGGTTTGCTTACTGCTCAATACAGTACTATTGTCTTTTGAGTATTTTTGAGAATGATAGATGGTGCTAATTATTTGTGTTTGGGAAAAGGAAATTACAATTTCCAGTTCACATCCCTCTTATATGGTGGCAAGTGTTCATATATCATATATCATATATGTGATTCGTTATGTATGGTTCAGGTACATCTTTTCTAAAATCTGATGTGGTTTTTATTCTACTGCTTTTCTAGGAAGTCTTGTGGAAGTGAAAAATGGACTAAGTGCACGTGGTGGAGAGTTCAAACCCACTGGAAGTGGACGAAGTTCTCATTCTTCTGTTGATAATGGTTAGATTTATCCGAGGAACATGATAGTGTAGATTGTATTGAGATTCTGATGCAGATTTTTTTAATGGGCTAGTTACATTTCTATGTAATAGGTTATTATCTTAAAATTTTTTGGGTTAATTAATGTAGGTACTTACAGATATAGTGGTCGTCGTGGAACAGCACATAATACAAAAGATGCTGATGGCACCTCATTTGGGGAAGGGCGACCCTCAAGAAGAGGAGGTCCTGGATATGGTACCCATGAGGTGCGCTTTCTTTGAGTTATGGTTTTTAAATTGCAAAAATATTCCTCTCAAGCTTTTACATTTAAAGAGAGTGGGGTGGTGGTTGTTCCTTCAACTTGCTAACTTGTTCGTATTGAATTGCAATGTAAATACAGAAACAAGTATGGGTCCAAAAGTCAAGTTCTGGTTCTTAATTTTGTTGTTTGTGGTAAGTTCCCATCTCTTCTAGTTCTGTATTGAATATTTATTTATTTGTTTTGTGCCTCTAGATATTTGAATAAAAAAGTTAAATTGATAAAATTACGACTGGTTATGTACATGTTGGGAAACTTGGGTGGTCCACTGATATGTATCCCTGTGATCACTTGTTTAACAGATACATGTATGAATTAATGGCAACTAAATGTGTGTCTATACATATATTATTTGTTGTTTACAGCTATGCCTCTATGCTGGTTTAGCTAGTTAAAAAAGCATGTACTCATACGAATTGGTCAATTTGGATGTTTCTGCAGTGAAACGCCTGATTGCGTACCATATCGAAGTATAAATCTGCTGGTGGCTATGCTCTGTCTTTCTCTCTTCCTCTGCTTAGATCAGGAGCGGGCAAGTTTGCTGAAGACAAGAAATTGAAGACCTTCAGTGGGATTTTGAATATACATGTTGCTACGGATGTGTTTATTGTTCAACGAGGGGTGAACCTTTGATCATACTACACCAAAGATGGTCTGGGGGTAAGAACGAACACCATTTGGATGACGACAAAATAACACCACAATTTTCAACCTGGTGCTACTCTGATTGATTGGGTGGCTTTCATCGGTGGAACCGACACACCCAGTTCCTACCATTGACTCAGCTGGTTATTATCAAGCATACTATAGCGGTGGATGGTTTCTTTTTGTTGACTTTAATGTATATACAAAAACACGGAATTACGTGAGATACCCCCAACCGCTTAGTTTTACATACGTATATACTATATATGTTATTAGCCTTGTGTTAATGCTAGGCTTGGGTTGACCGATTGGGGATTGATTGTGAACAAAAAACAGGAAGCTTGGAGTTGCTAGATAGACACTTTGGAAGTGCAACATTTTAGTTATGGTCAGATATTACCCTTTTGATGATGAGTAGTGGAATGAAAAAAAGCTCGTTTGGTAATATTCTTGAAGTTGTGTGGCTATTGTGAAATGGACGCAGGGATTGTTGCTGCAACATTTGACTTTTTAAAAAATTACTGTGTTCATTTAGCCGGTTTCGGCGATGGGTAGAAAAAGCTTTAGGCCTTTAGTGCGAATCGAAAAAGTGGATCCGTAATCCTCAAAGGCGACACAAAAGTCAAAAACTAATAACGGCATATGAAATGTCTCGTCTTGTTGATTCATCGATGTTGACCCATATATACTCACATGATGAAAATGACCAATTTTTATTTATCATGTTATGGAGTACAAGTAAGGAAATAGAATTTGAGAATACATGTAGTAATATTCAATTCTATGCATGATTTCTTCTGTTTTATGTGTGTCACTCAAAAGATCAATAGAACTAATAGCTCATAGTGAGCCATTTTTGATAAGCAGAATTGATAATGTGGGATGAACCAAAACTGCGGACCAGGGTCTTTATGGCGGGCTTCCCAAATCCCGTGGCCACCATGGGTTTGTGTGGCGGGACTAGGGAGTCTGCCGCATAGGCTCGTGGCCTCCTCATGAAATTAGGCCAGTCCTGTGAGGACAAAACCAGAATGCAGACGTATCGAATTCCACACAAACTACACTAAGAAGATCCTTTGAAATGACTTTATCCAAAATGTGTTGTTAACAAAAATCAAATTTGTAACTTTTTAATATGAAAATCATACTCTATTCATTCAACTACATTTTCTAAAGTCATTAGAGTATTTTTAACATTAGGGGGTTGACTAATTCAGAACAAAAAACAATTATGAAGTAAAATAGAAATGGAAAATAACATTATTATAATTTTATTAGAAAATATAAAATACTCCGCGTATAAAATATAAAATACTGAAATAAAATAAGCTAGCTGGATATAAAATAAAGTATATAATAAAATCTAGCGCAAATAGCGTTGTTCAATCATAACATCTTCTCTGCTACTCATTCGCCGGTCAGACTGGAGAAGCTCACACTCAGAGCGCACATACTCTCTCTACGGTTCTACCGCCCGATATTGTAGAAATTATCATTATTTTTTGTAAAATGATTTGCGTTAATCTCTGCGATGTTTAATGGAATTCCGAAGCTGATGGTTTGATAAACAGTTTTTGATTCATCATCGCAGTTCATCGAGGTCAGTTCGCAGTTTCTTCCTCAGTAGTTTTTGCATTTTAATTCTGTTTCGAAGCAGATTAGCATCTCAATTGCTTCACAGTTGTGTATAATTCCATTAGGGATCGGCTTTTGCGGTTTAGGAGGAAGTTAGTCTCCTTCGTTTGGTTCATAGAGAGATATAGGTATCCTTGGAAAGATGAGAGTCTGAAGCTTCGTCACTGGCTGTTATCTTAGGTTCTAGTTAGTGATGATGCAGCTTCATATTTTTGTTTGACTGTAATATTTGCTTCTGAGTGATTGCAGTTTTGTGACTAATTCATTACTTAGCATAGTATGTGAGAGGTATAATCTGTTCGCATTCTTACAAGGGTTTAACTGAAAAATAGCTAACTGATTTATGTTTAATTGTGGAATGCTTTGTTGTTAAGTTGTTAGCTCAAAGTAGCTGACTAGCTAACAATGTTTAGTTCATATGCTGCTTATTAACTGAATTATGTTTCATTCCCTTTTTTCTTTCTTTCTTTTTGGTGGGGGATTTTATTATGCACTTGATAAATTTAATGAGCAGAAGCTATATAGTACACCACTTTCAGAAACCAACATTCCTGATCACGATTAGATTAATCTGTCAGTTTTTTTCTTCTCCATGATAAACAGTTGTTACGCTCCAGCCATATTGACTTAAAAACTTTGTGATTGTATTAGGTAACAGGCATTTTCATGTGGTGGAAGGTCACATCAAGAATAATTGTGGATAGGAGCATGTGCTGGTGCTAGATTCTGTGGAACTTGCCAGGCTTATTTATGGCATCTGCTGGCCTAGGCCATGGAGGAGCTGGGAGTTCTAGAAATGCTAGTAGTGGTTTTTCAAATTCATCTAGTTCGTTTGACTGGCTGGGAAGGGAAATGCTCGAGATGAGGTTGAGGGACAGGGTGGACCTTGAAGATGACAGGGTGTGCTTCTTGATTGAATGCATTACCAAGTTTCCTTTAGTCTTTATCGTGCATTATAACTGCATTATGAAAACTGTATTTTTTGTATCATTTGCAAGGATATTATGCTATTACTTTGCTGTATTTGTTATGAGTATTACCATTTTCTTATTTGATACTTCTATATTATGCAGGACAGCGAACCAGATATAATTGATGGTGTGGGTGTAGAAACAGGACATGTTATTAGAACTACTATTGGTGGTCGAAATGGACAACCCAGGCAGGTTTGTGAACTAACTAAAGGAAAATATTTTTCATGTGGTCAGAAAATAGCTATGCCCTAATCTGGCTCATGCTTTGACATGTTTGTATGGTTTTGGACAGAATGTTAGCTACATAGCAGAACGTGTGATAGGAACAGGGTCTTTTGGTGTTGTTTTCCAAGTAAGCTGATTAGCTCTCTGGTGGTCTGGTATTTATTTATTTCGGATATCTGTTCTCTTTTGCTTTTGATTATATACTTGCTTTGATCCTCACTGTAAGAGCAGGCAAAATGCAGAGAAACTGGAGAAATTATTGCAATTAAGAAGGTTCTTCAAGATAAGCGCTACAAGAACCGAGAGTTGCAGATAATGCAAAAGTTGGACCACCCTAATATTGTTGCACTTAAGCATTCTTTCTTCTCGACGACAGATAATGAAGATCTATATCTCAATCTCGTCCTTGAGTATGTCCCTGAAACAGCTAACCGTGTTGCTAGGCAGTACAGCAGAATGAACCAGCGGATGCCATTGATATACGTCAAGCTGTATACCTATCAGGCATGTCCAAACTCAGTGTTCTGCAAATTAATTCTGAATTCATGGACAGAACTTTTGAATAATTTATAATGTCTAGGATGGTGATGGCCAGTATAAATCATGATTGCTTGTGTGCTCATACTGGGTGCCGAGTCACCCTTTTTAGTATTGGTTTATGTCATCTTCTTGATTTCACATTTTATTCTTGCCAAGAAACCACCTTATTATTATTGGAAGAATTACTCAGTATCATCTTCCAAGTCTTACCTTGCTGTGTGCCACAGACTTGTAAATTTATATGCAAAATGTGCATTTCCCTTGTTCTAAATTACTATCACATCCTACTTAATTCTATCACCACGGGCTCACACTAGAGAGAGATGGGTCATGAAATTTTTTTCCATTAGAGATCCTGATTCCTGATTAGTGCAAATGTTAGCTATCAAAATTTTAAGAAATGTTCATTGCAATTGACTCAAATAATAATGAGCTCCCTTTTGTATGCAGATTTGCAGGGCATTGGCTTACATCCATAACTGCATTGGCATTTGCCACCGTGATATTAAGCCTCAAAATTTGCTGGTTAGACGCCTTTTTTTTATCTTCTTCTTCTTCTTCTCTTTTTTTTTTTTTTTTTTTTTTTTTTTTTTTTTTTTTTTTTTTTCCTTTTGCATACATATTACTTTTTCTAGATTACGTTGGTTTTTATCCAGCATATCAATTTAAATATGCTGCAGTCTTTCTGTATCAGATCTGCTTCATATTTCTAATATATGAGATTTTTATTTATTTATCAATGTCTAGATGTTTAGGTGCTGGTTCTTAAAAAGTTTAGAAGCCAGCTGATTCTCTAGCTAAACCCTGTAGATTGTCAAGAAATATGGTGTAATATATTTGAATACGAAAACAACTAAAAACTGGAAATTTAGATGGGTTGTTGTTAGCTACTTTTGAATACCTATCCAGCCAACCAGAGAAACATGCAAAATTCCGCCAACTGTCAAGTTGGCCTCAATAACTTGTAACATCTCAAGTATCTAAACAAATTTTGAAGAACAAAGAGGTGGATTGAGTGCAAGGCAATGCTTAGCATGACGCTCTCTAGCAAGGAATGCTTAGCAATTACACAAATTCCAATGTCTTGTGAATAATCAAATTATTTTACTTGAATGAGCTGATGAAGTCCTTTTACCAATAGGTGAACCCACATACACATCAGCTGAAACTTTGTGATTTTGGAAGTGCAAAAGTTTTGGTAAGTATTTAATTTAGGGGACTTCTACAATGTCATAGTCCAAAAATAGAAAGAAGAGGTTGGTGGACTTGCAAGAAATGAAGGGAAAGTGGACAACTTTGTAAATTTATTTTGGAATATGACATTGTAGACTTTCCCCTTAATTTAATCACTTGTTTGAGCTGTCATTAATTTTTCAAAACTAGTTTGACTCTCACGATATATTAGGTGGAAGGAGAACCCAATGTGTCATACATTTGCTCACGACATTATCGTGCTCCTGAGCTCATATTTGGTGCCACTGAATATACGACAGCCATTGACATCTGGTCTACAGGTTGTGTCATGGCAGAATTACTTCTTGGACAGGTATTCTACCGGACTAGTTTTATTGTAATTTTCATATTTTGTGTGTAATAATTTTATTCTTCTGATCAATCTTCTACAGCCTTTATTTCCTGGAGAGAGTGGGGTTGACCAATTAGTAGAGATCATAAAGGTGGCTACTGTTAATCTTAGATACTTGCAGATTTGGTTCATAATTCAATTGCTGTCTTTATCTCTTCTCTTTTTTTCTTTTTTTTTTTTTAATTTTTTTTTAAATTTTTTTTTTAATTTTTTTATACAGGTCTTGGGAACACCTACTAGAGAGGAGATGAAGTGCATGAACCCAAACTATACTGAATTCAAATTTCCACAGATAAAACCCCATCCTTTGCACAAGGTTCTACAATTTCTATTTTCTTCTTACACTTCATTATGTTGTCACAGCTTATTCTATTGAAGCTTCTACCAAAATGGCATCAATTGTATGCATCATATGACATGTCAAGAAATAACTCTTTACACTTACCTCCTGTATAGTTATCAACATCCCTGTGACTTGACAGAGTATTATGATTATTAGGGATAACCCTTTTCAGATTTTAGAGCACATGAAAGAAGTACCACAAAAAAAATTTGATTTAGATCTGCTTAGGTGAATTCAATCTCTGCCAAAAGTTTTTTTTTTGGCAAATGAATATTCTAAAAGGAGAGCTATGCTGATCATGACCATGAAGCCTCAATGTAATGATGCTAAGTTAGATTCCTTGAGATTTGAGTCTAATTCAAAGTTGCAATTTTTTTCTTTCTTGCCTCTATTATTTTTGCTGTTGTTATTTTTGTAGACAAGCTGGTTGCCTTCAATTAAAATTACTGATTTATCCTCTTAACACAACGAAAGAAAAGGTTTGCCAACTCCACCCATCTTCTAATCAATCAATCATCCTCTCTACCTTTAACACCTATTTGAATGAACATGATGAGAACCTCTCTGAGTACAATATTCCTTGGAAGCAGAACAAGATAAAAACATACTCCCTATTTGGGAAGGAGAAGACTCCATGGCCTGTTATCATTCTCCATACTACTTTGCCTACATAAAGTATTTTCTGTTACATGAGTGGTTATTACCTTCATTATGCCCCTGTTTGATGCCAGGATGAATTTTGTTCTTCATAACTCAATAACCTTTAGCCTTCACGCACATAGTTATGTAATGTATTTTTAAACAAGATTTTTAATGCCTGACAATCTTTCTTTTATTGCAAACCTTGCAGATTTTCCAAAAACAACTGCCTCCGGAAGCATTTGACTTGATTTATCGTTTTTTCCAGTATTCCCCACATTTGAGATGCACTGCTGTAAGTTTAACTTTATGCTGATTAATTAAGTCATGAAGGTTGAAATTCTTGAGTTATGGATTAGTTCATTTGGTGAGTAATGCAGTTGGAGGCTTGTCTTCATCCTTTCTTTGATGAACTGAGAGACCCAAATACCCGCCTGCCTAATAACCGTCCTCTTCCGCCACTCTTCAATTTCAAACCTCAAGGTAATTATTAGTTTTTTTGCTACCTCATCCACCTTGATCTTGTTTCTAATTTTGGAGATGATATAGATTCAGGAATTAAACGCGTGATCATATTCTTGCCTGGAAGTATTAATCCTGAAAATTTATACATTTCTCACTATAATTTTATCCATTCATGTTTTATTGTAGAGCTCACCAGCTTACCTCCTGAAACTGTTCGTCGACTCATTCCAGAACACGCTCGAATGCAGAACTAAATCATGGCTTTGCCATCCCGGTGACTGTTTGAAGTTTCATTTCTTCCATTTTTGTTAGCTGCTTCAGCTGGCTGTATATCAGCAGATCGAGGAACACTGAAGTTCAGTGCAGGATGAGTAGAAGCCTCATTGCGTTTTTTATTACTATAGCTGACTGACTCTATATATTTCTCTTGATAATACCAAATACCTACTTCCCAAGGGAATTGTGGATAGGTATATATAAGGATATCAATTGTACCAAACTAATGGGATGGGAACAACAATGGGGAATGCCCTCATCGCCCCATACTTTTCCCTATCTCAGATATATATAAATTGCTATTATAATATATGTAATGATAATCACAAAACCTAATGCTTGCCAATTCTTCTATATTTTTTAGAATGACAAAACAAAACTAATAGTTTTTGTTAGTATGGTGAAATTTTATCCTTTTTTCTTCACTACAACATAAAATTTCTTTCTTAACATAATATATCTAAGATATGTCAATTTAATATTGTCTTATATTGATTGTGCATATCACATTAATGGATCATGAACAAGTGCACTTTGCTGATATTACAAGTACAAGAGCAATTATTTCTCTTTGAATTTTCATAATTTTACAATTTCAAATAATTTTTTTTTTATTACTTCTGACTATGTTATAATATAGTATTTGTTCATAACTACTTTCTCTATTACTAAATATCGCCCCTACTTCCATGACCTTCCTAATTATGAGTCATTTCATCAGTTCTCAAGTTCTTATCGTCAGAATGAACTGAGTTCCATTTTCTTCAGCAGGCAAAATGAACAGAAACCGTTATTTAGTTCCGAGTCGGTTAGGCCTCACAAATTTACAGATCTTTCTAGAACTTCAAAAATCGTTATTAACTAAACTAGCCATCGCAGGTCTACCCCTTATCTTTGTGTTTTCATTTCTCTTTTAGAATTGTAGGACTTGAGCGACTCACAGTTCACACTTTCTCCTTCTCCCGCGTCTCTCACTAGGGTTAGATTGCTCTACAAAATTACGAGTAGATATATCTAATATATACAATCTCTAGGGTTTAACTGATGGCGTCGTCAACAGCTCAAATTCATGCACTTGGAGCTACTTACTTCACGAAGAATCCATCTTCTTCCAGCAGGAATCCGTCGAGGAAGGTGTTTTTTGGGCAGAGATTAGACAATAGGACGTTGGGGCTCAAGAGCAATTCCAGTCGGAGAAATGCCGGTGCTAGGCGGTTGCGGGTTGTTGCCGAGAAGGTGGTTGGGATTGACCTCGGGACGACTAACTCGGCTGTGGCAGCCATGGAAGGTGGGAAGCCGACCATTGTGACGAATGCCGAAGGGCAGCGGACCACTCCGTCGGTGGTGGCGTACACGAAAAATGGGGATAGGCTTGTGGGGCAGATTGCGAAGCGCCAGGCCGTTGTTAATCCCGAGAACACTTTTTTCTCTGTGAAAAGGTTTATAGGGAGGAAGATGTCGGAGGTCGATGAGGAGTCTAAACAGGTTTCCTATAATGTCGTCAGAGATGAGAATGGAAATGTGAAGCTTGAGTGCCCGGCTATTGGCAAGCAATTTGCTGCTGAAGAAATCTCTGCTCAGGTATAAACAAATAGAGATTGTTTTGGATGTAAGATGACAATTAGAATTGCCGCTAACTTTCATATTATTTGCTAATTTAGGTCCTGAGAAAGCTTGTTGATGATGCATCCAAGTTTTTGAATGACAAAGTGACAAAGGCTGTTGTCACCGTACCTGCATACTTCAATGATTCTCAAAGAACAGCTACTAAGGATGCTGGTCGCATTGCTGGATTAGAGGTTCTCCGTATTATAAATGAACCAACTGCTGCCTCACTGGCTTATGGTTTTGAAAAGAAAAACAATGAAACTATACTGGTATTTGACCTTGGAGGTGGAACTTTTGATGTATCTGGTACCAACTTTACTTCATTTCTCACTTTATTTTCCACCTGTAGTTTGGTTACACATTACTTGTAAAATGGTTTTCTTGATTTTTGATTTTCCGTGCTTGTCGATTTCTCAATTGCTTGATGTAATATTGCAATGCTTATGAATTATGATAACACAATTTTTCGCACAATGCAGTTCTTGAGGTGGGTGATGGTGTGTTTGAGGTGTTGTCTACTTCTGGAGATACTCATCTTGGTGGTGATGATTTTGATAAGGTTTGCCTTTTCATCATCTCCTCTACGGCTCTACCTGAATGCATTTGTTACTTGGTAGATGATGTCATTTTTGAATTCATTGCTATTGCTGAAGTTATTTATTATATGCTCCTTTCATGCAGAGAATTGTTGATTGGCTAGCATCAAATTTCAAGAAGGATGAAGGTATAGACCTTCTAAAGGACAAACAAGCTCTTCAGCGTCTGACTGAGACAGCTGAGAAAGCTAAGATGGAACTTTCATCCTTGACACAGACAAACATCAGGTATTCACTTTGACATGCTCATTGTTTATACTTGGTAGAATAGTTAAGAGTTCCTACACTGAGATTAGGGTGGTTGTCTAAACTCAAGTTAGGAATCTTAGAAGTATTGGAATTTGATTTAGTACATTCCTAGTAGTTTAGGAATCCTGGAGAAGCATTTCTAGCTTCCCCATCTGTGCTTCCGACTTAATCTCATTGTAATTTTACCGTGTGTGTTTTTTCCCCTCTAGCTTGCCCTTCATTACAGCAACAGCTGATGGTCCTAAACACATTGAAACCACTCTTACTCGAGCTAAGTTTGAGGAGTTGTGCTCAGATTTGCTTGACAGGTATTAGGATCACAACAGATGGGTTAATCTACTTATAGACATTCTGGTGAAAAAACTTAATCCTGTCATTTCCCTTTTATTTCAACAGGCTCAAAACACCAGTGCAAAATTCCTTGAGAGATGCAAAACTTTCATTGAGTGATATTGATGAAGTGATCCTTGTTGGAGGTTCAACTCGCATTCCAGCTGTTCAGGAATTAGTTAAGAAAATGACTGGAAAGGACCCAAATGTCACTGTTAATCCTGATGAAGTTGTTGCTCTCGGAGCTGCAGTTCAGGTTGGATATTCTTAGCAGTGTGCATGTTTTCTGTTTGTATCTTTTCAGTTATGGTGTCTGAATGCAAATTAATTTATCTGTTACAGGCTGGAGTTTTATCTGGAGATGTAAGTGATATTGTCCTTCTGGATGTCACACCATTATCCCTTGGTCTGGAAACTCTTGGTGGTGTCATGACAAAGATCATTCCCAGAAATACAACATTGCCTACATCAAAATCAGAAGTGTTCTCTACAGCTGCTGATGGCCAAACAAGCGTTGAAATTAATGTCCTTCAAGGTGAGAGAGAATTTGTGAGAGACAACAAATCCCTAGGCAGCTTCCGTCTTGATGGTATTCCTCCTGCCCCACGGGGAGTTCCTCAAATTGAAGTCAAATTTGACATTGATGCAAATGGCATTCTCTCTGTCACTGCTATTGACAAGGGCAGTGGGAAGAAGCAAGACATCACTATCACAGGTGCCAGCACTTTGCCTGGTGATGAGGTATGGCTTTTAATTCCATCAACAGAATGGTGCATTAGCACATTATGATAGTGAAAGCTCAGGTTCTTGGCTTTTACTGGATTTTGCAGTTTGGAATTTATTTCTTGTAACTTGCTCACAAATCTCACTAGAACCAATGCTAAGAACTCCCATTTAATTGAATTTATTTCTTGTAACTTGCTCACAAATCTCACTAGAACCAATGCTAAGAACTCCCATTTAATTTGATACAGGTAGATAGGATGGTTAAAGAAGCTGAAAGATTCGCCCAGGAAGACAAGGAGAAGAGAGATGCTATAGACACCAAAAATCAGGCAGATTCTGTTGTTTACCAAACGGAAAAGCAGCTGAAGGAACTTGGTGACAAAGTACCAGGCCCAGTAAAAGAGAAAGTCGAGGCCAAACTTGGAGAGCTCAAAGATGCTATCTCTGGTGGAGCAACTCAGGCCATGAAGGATGCAATGGCAGCCCTTAACCAGGAAGTCATGCAGCTTGGTCAGTCACTCTATAATCAGCCTGGTGCTGGTCCAGCCCCTGGTGGCTCAGATGGGCCATCAGAATCATCAGGGAAAGGACCTGATGGAGATGTCATTGATGCAGATTTCACTGACAGCAAGTAAGATTGCCTGAAGATCATTTTTTGAGCCATCTATTTTATAGGTTCCTAAAATTTTTTCCTGTGTACAAGGAGGCTTCTGAATTTTGAAACATCTTTCTGTACTCGGGGTTGAAGGAACATTAGTTATATTAGAGGTTAGGATATTGAACAGGAGGAAACTCTTGATAGCTGAAATGTCAAAGCCTATGCCCTATTGTTTATGAATGATAACAAAATTTGGCAATAGTTTGTTCCATCATTTTGCAATTTTGTTTGACTATATTTATGAACTGAAGAATCAAGAATACAAATACTCAAAATTCAACTGCACATGAAGCACATACAGGTACTTCTAATCTAGTCCAAGAAGCTGTCTTGGTGAGTGGCTCCTTTGAAATCCAGAGTTCACAATTCACCAAATTTCCTTCATTGGTAATTCTCTCTCTCTCTCTCTCTCTCTCCTTTCAGCTATATACTATCCCAGTTTAAAACATTAACCTAGTCTTCGCCTATAAACTAGCAATATACACACCAGTATATGTGCACTAAAGTATGTCAGGTTGTCAACCATGGGCGGCTTGGGAGTACCACCACCGTGGCCATGAGCCCTGTCAGGGCTCAGAGAATAAGAAAGCTTGGAGATGGACCTCTGCATCTATTGTAAAACTGTCTGCAATCATCAAAAGGAGCCAAACATCTTGTGCAACCACTGCCTCGGCTATGCCTAGACAGGGAGTAGTAGTTGTTATAATGAGGGTTGTGATCCACTTGGTGACTTGTTCCCTCAACCCTGCCGGATGACCTAACCGAAATGAGCCTCTCGGACCCTCTGTGCGGATCAAAAGGCAGCTTGGCAGACTGATTCCCGTGATACATTTGCTGTCTGGAGTTGTAATAATAAGGATGAAGATGATGTTGGTGAGAGAATTGTTGGTGTGCAGGAATATAATGGCTGCTGCTGTTGCTGTTGCTTTGCGGCTGACCGCCACTGTTAGAAATACTAGGCATGCTTTGAACTTTATGCATACTGTAACTTCCATTAATCATAACTTGATCATGATTCGGAGCATCATTTGTGCAGCTTTCAGGAGATGTCGGAGAAGTACATGCTGAGGAGACGCTGAAAACCGTTTTACAAGGAGGAGGCTTGCCGTTGATTGCATCAACGTAACGCTGCTCTAATGCCTCTGCTGCGCGGGGATTACTACGGTGATCTAACACCACCGGCTTTGCAGGGAAGAGGAACGCCCGAAGCTTGGGCGCCCCTGCCGCCTCGCAACGCTCCTGCTCCTCCATCATGTGCCAGAGGTCCTCGTCGGATTTAACCGACACCAGGGCGTCTAGGTCTTCCGGGAATATCTGATACTTAAGCACCATATCTCCTCCCTCTACCGGGTACGTAAGCTTCTTCATCAGTTCTGCAAATCAAATCAATCATAACCGTCACAAATCTCTTGCATTTTTACAACATTCTGGAAAGAAAATTAAGTGAACAACCTTCAAGTTTAATGTCTCGGGGGACAGAGATGACGCGGGTCTCGCCGCCGACGTATTTGAGATGACAATCTCCCCAGCGGAGGAGAATCTTACCGCCGTGGCTGCACATGAATTTGATCTTGTTCACGGGGGAGCCCGGCGCAGAGCCGCCGCAAGGGGCGGTTTCCTCCACAATATTTACGCCATCCACAGCCATCTTCCAACAACAAAAATTTCAAGCGAACCAAAATACAAATTTCACAAACAGACAACAATAGCAGTAACTAACAAGAATTATAAAATCTACAAATAAACTAGAATGAAGAAATTAAAACAAAACTATTTTTTGTTTTCTTTTCGTCGAATAAAAGAATTGAGATTAGAATTGAGATTTCATAGAACGATGAATATATGAAACCTCAATTTTTGGGTAAAGGAATTGTTTTATTGTGATCGGCTTTGGGATGCCAAGATGAGAAGAATGGGTGTGGTTTGGTATGTATAGACATAGGCAGGCAGTTACAGTTTTCACACGAACCACTAGTTTCTCCCACATTCAAAATCATTTCTTCAAGCTTTTTTATTTTTTTTTATTTTTTTTATTTTATTTTTTATTTTTATTTTTATTTTTTAAATACCATATGTACATAGCTTATTGGTCAACCAATTTAAAATAAGTCTACAAGCTTTGTTTTTGGAAGTCAATTGAATCAATGATGCATGTTTTGCAATTTACCTCTTCAGCAAATAAAAGTATTTTTTTAATTTTTTTTTTTTTTGGGAAAAGGAAAGTATATTTTTTTGAAGTATAAAGCATGAAAATTTTATAATTATAAATGATCGAAACATCAACTATTAATTCTTGTTACAAACATATATTTAATTTATTACCCCATCCATAACATAATGAAGGAGAACTATCAATTAAACTTTGTTTTATTTATTTTTGTATAAGAAAAGTTACACTCATTACATGTAAAACAAGACAGTGAATAATGTACAAACTATTTAATCTCAACATAGCTTAATAATAACCCCAATCTCAAAATTGCAAGTTTATTCTTTACATCTAAAACCAAAGTAAAAGCAGACAGGATAAGAAAATGCATTCTAAAGTCTGAGAAAGCGTTTACAGACTCTAAGAAACTTCTCACTTGTGGTTTTTACTGTGCCACTGATCTTCTCTGCAGATGTTGGTGATGTCTCCCCTGCATGGTCTCCATTGTTGCTGTCCATATCAGCATCATCAATGGTGGGAGATGACAGAGTGGCACACTGGTTATGAATCCTACAATACCTCTCAGAAACAGACGAAGATCTTCTCATTGAAAACGCCCTCTTCACTCTCCCGCTCCCCGCCCGCTCCAATCTGAATCTCTGCTGAGATGCACCATTCGAAGCGACTGAGCTGCTCCTGGTAAGTTTCACTCCAAACCCACTCCTGTCATCTTGGTGTTCTTGTTCTTGATGCTCATCAAAATCACTATTTCTGCTTATTATGTTCTCCTTCTTGACTTGATTCAACTCCTGGGTTTCTGGGGATTGGCTGTGATGGGTAGTGTTTGAGAATGATTTGGGATCTGCTGACCACTCCAAAGATCTTGATTTGCTTTTGCTGTTGCTGTCAGCTTTGATCTTTGCATATCTGTTCATAGTTTTCTGCTTCTTCTGCTTCCTTCCTTCCTTCTTGGGGTTTCTTGAAACTTTTGAGGTGGGTGGGGGACTGAGCTGGATGAGTTGTATATATATTACTGGTCTCACCGACCATGTGGCCATGCCCAGGAATCTCTATGTGATTAAAACATGTTTAAAATAATTTAAATCATTGAGTGATAATTAATGTTAGTGTAGTAGCTAGTTTAATGCTTGGACAGAGGATCTATATTATTGTATTGTGTATACAAAATGCTATGTGGATACAACTGATTTGAGCACCGCCATATATATATATATATATATATATATATATATATATATATATATATATATATATAGTTGTTGTACGTATAGCTAGCTAGCATTATTGAATATAATATAATGAATCAGACAAAATAGTATTAAAATCAATATCTGTATGGCTATAATGTGCCGGGTGAAGTGAGGGTTTTGTTTTCTTGTTAGTGCATGAATGCATATCTAATTGGATTTCGAAGATGTCCCTGTTGCATGAGTTAACAGGAAAGCCGAAAGGGTGGGGTTGGTTTCCTCTCTTATATAATCACAATAATATTAATGTGATTAGATTATATTACAGAGTGAAAGAACTTCTAGTCAAGTGACATGAAATGACTCTTGTAAATGGGAAGTCATGAGTTCGAGTTTCAGTGGGGTCAGTGTTGACTCGTTGGGTGGGGCCAAAAGTGTGAATGGCGAAAAGTAGTTTTGAAAAAAAAAAAATAGTATTGTGTTAGCTCAATTGACCTTTGACCCAACCTTTTTTTTTTTTTTTTGAAAGTTACTGGCTCTATTACATTGTAGTATCTGTTCATATACTTTCTCAACCTACTGAGCTCCACTGAGGCTCGAACTTATAATCTTTCAAATGGAAGTCCAACCCGGGTACCATTAGACCACATAGTCCTGGTGACCTTTGACCCAACCTAATAATAGGATTTGACAAATTTGATGGAGCGGTCCAAAATTACAAAGGCCACAAAGCCAATACAATTTTGATAGCCTGGCATGTGTGAACAATAGAGTTAGATAATGCGAGGCGTAATTCTTGGTTCTTGTGCTCTTAGGCATTTTAGTATTTCAAGATAGCGCACGTATAAATAGTAGTTCTACATATTGTATTAAGATCAATATATGATTTTTTTTTTTTTTTTTTTTTTTGAGTGGGGTGGGGGGAGGGGGGAGTGGTATTTTGATCATTTAGCTAGACACGTTTGGAGCTATGTCAATTGCGGAGTATATTGCTAAACATACACGGTTACCTTGTTATAACCTATTCATAATATTATGTATGTGCTAAAAATAATACCTTGTTATAACAATAGCACAATTTTCTATTCCTTTTCTTTTTAGCTATTTTATGGGAGCTCTATTTAAGTTGAAGGACCTATAACTAGTTTTGGCTAGTGTTGCAAAAATCGCGCCCGCCGGTCGCTCTGTCTCAACCATTGTTTTTTTCTTTTTCGCGGAACTCAGAAGTCCGCCGAAGCGCCTCTACCACCCCACGCGATCACGCCCCTCTGCCAGTTGCTGACCATGTCCCTCTGCCTCCGTCGGTCGTCGGTCGCCTCCACCTCCGAAGCGTCACTCACGCGACTTGAGTGTTGAGAGAATTAGAGAGATGATGCTAGATGCTTTGATCTAAATTACAGAGGTTGAGAGTGCTGAGTGTACAGACATTGATATAAATTAGAGGGGAGCAGCGCTACTCTTCAACAGTCACGCACTACGTCTCACTAAAAAAATTCAAATAAATAAATCGGGCACTTAGGAGGCACCTAGCGTCTTTTTCAACATTGGTTTTGGCAAATTACACCACTACCAATAAATGATCATTTTTAGATTACTAGATTTTTAATATACTAAAAGTTTAAGAAGAATGATACTTTTCTCCATAATATCATTCATGTATTCACATTTCCTCTTCAACTATTCTAAAAGTGGCAATTTTTTCATTAATATATTACATGAATAATTCATGAAAAAAAATGTCATTTTTCCAAAGGTTATTATTACTAACGTTCATTTTTAATATACTAAAAGTTTATTTGTTTTAGTACTAATGCAGTATACTAAAGAATGAATTCTCAGTAAACTTATATGTCACTTCACATTGCAATGTGGACCATTGTCCATCTTACAATGTGGACTATGGTTCACATATAAAGATCAAGTAGGTTTCAATCAAATGAAAGCAATTTCTAAATCTATATATACTGACAACCCAAATTTGTTCCTGTTTTGATACAAAAACAAATGGTAGAGAAGACATCTCCAAAATGTTGAAGAACATATAAATTTAGGTATAGTAACCTCTTAGGTAACTAAGAATATCCACCTGTAACTATTGAGAGTAAAAGAATGCCTAGTCTCAAAATCCCAAGGGAGGAGAAGAAATATATATATAAAGCAGAATTTTGGATTCTAAATCACTGCATAAACTCTTTGTAATCACACCACTTGATAATTATCTGCGGCAAGCAGAGTTCTTTGCGCAAATTTTGGTGTCGCCCCACCTCTCAGCGGAAGAATATTGACAACCTGCAACATTGTGCCGTTGAGTTATGCATATAGTTCCAGGAAGATCAAGTAACTTTGCGAGAGACAGTGGTTAACGAGCAACATGGTAATCTGCTAGGTGCACGAGGAAAAAATAACAAATGGGAAGCGAGGCAAACCTTCAAGTCGCTAAAAGTTCTTGAAGAAGTAAAGCGTGCACTTATTGGGAAAAACTGTGATGGGTCTGCTGCAGGAACAACAAATTCTAGAGAACCACTGCAACACACATTAAGAGGATCCATGTGAGAATTAAACGAGAACCGAGGATTGTACCCTACCATTATTGTAATTACAGAAACATCACCTGCGATTTGAGTTATCAATGAGAACTATAGACCATTCCAGGACACAATTCCTGGAGTCAAACCTGCAATTAGAGATCATTTGAATGGTAAGAATCCAAGTGATAACACACAATATCAGCTTTACATATTTCTTAATATATATCAACAAAAAAGCTTCAAGATCTCTCATCATCGATTGTTAGGAAATTTCCACCTCTTAATATAAAGGAAAACTTTAATTTGCACCATTTCTTATAACCAAATGGGATACAACTAAAAGCATGCATACTACAAGAGCCTATAAATTATAAGGTAAAATGTCACCTCCACTCCCCGTCTATCTGCTGTACATTTGGAGCATCTCTAAGTGCTGGAAGAGGCACAGAAATTATAACATTCTGTAGTTGCATGTTTGCTGGAGTTTCATACTCAATATTGACATAGGTTTCTTTTCCAGAAGCAGAGGGCCAGCAGTTAACTAAAACAGTATGATAAAGCAATCAAACAAAGGAAAGATCAGAATTGGTAACTGAAGAGACAGAAAAATATTGACAGTTTGAGGGAATATCAAAGAAGATAAGACTTACGTGTCAATGGCAAAATTGACTCATCAGTGCTTTGCATTCTCCACTTCAAGAGACCAACACCATCACCAGATTGACCAGTGGGAAATGGCCTATTTGGATCTTTGAGGCCTAGAATATTTTCATTTGCAAACAACTCCTTGTTGATGTTAGGATGTGTTTTGAAGAGCACTGCTGGATTAGCACTGGTCTCAATCTAAAAGTTTGGCATAATAATAAAGAAACACCTTAGATTAAGTTACAAGAAAAGAACTTTATGATCAAGAATGAACCAACCTTGATAACATTAAATTATTATAAATGGCACATACAAATTTAGGCATTATTCAGTAAATGTTCCAACCTTCTTAGACCAACAGGCTTGCATACTCAAGCTAGGCAAATTCTTTTGAAATAGTTGTTGCGCTAAACTGCTAGTTAAATCTACATCTACTCATACGAAATTGCACTTAGATTTTAGTTAGGGGGAGAGAGAACAACCTGAACTTGGATAAATCCATCGTCTTGGCTCAAAATTTGGAGAGACAATGTACCTTGCACATCAAAGTTGCTGACACCTCCATCACGTTTTAGTGTTACATTAAGCTTTTCTTCCACAGTCAATGTCACAGGATCAGTTAAGGGTGCAGCAGCGGGCTTGGACTGACCTACTACACTTGGTCTGACGTCCTCTACAATCATTTCACCTTCAGCTTTCAGGGATTCCAAAAATTGGTTGGCCCTTTGTGTCTTACCCAGCTTCATACCAAGACCTTTTGGTGGAGCTGAAGCAGATGAAGGCGGATGACCTAATCATACGTTTTCAATGAGCTATATGTACCCCAATGACATATATCTCAGACTATACAACTTGTAACTAAGAGCAATATTATTCCGCATCTATTTACTATAAAGTAAAACAGAAACAAACCCTTGGACTTGGTGGAGAAAGATTCAACATCAGTGCTTAACCCCCCAAAGCCAGTAGTAGCATTTCCAAAACCACTTCCGGTGCTTGATAGGTTTGTATCATTGCCAAAGCCAGTTTCAAGTCTTCCAGAAGAACCCAGTGACTGCAGGGACATAAAGCCCCCCTTATCACCTCTATTCTTCTCAATCTAGAAAACAATTATGAAAACAGATCATTAGATAAAATCAATGCCACCAACAAAGAATAATCACAAGGAGCTAACGTTGATCACATTACGTGGGGTCTATTAGTTACCTTGCTTTTGTCAATCTCACTAGCTTTGCGCTTCATGACATCCTTAGTCTCATTAATCTTGCTCTGCAAGACCAATTTGTGCAGCTTCTCTTCATGACTCTCCATTTCACAGTACTGCTTGACTTGTACAACATTAATATTCTCCTTATGGCCCAGAGATATGACTTCATCAAATGCAAAAAGGAGCTCAAAAGCTGTTTTGCAAATGCCCTCCTCATCTAGGGAATAAGAATATTCAGGGACCTTGTTGTAGTTAAGGAAATAGAACTAAAATGAAATAAGTGTGTCCTTTGGTAATGGATACTATGAGAAACATCTTGTATTAGACATTTTTCTTCCTCACAATAAAGGAAATGTTAGCATGCAGCAAAGAATAAAATCCAGGGAATGTACAGCTTTTCCAGGTTAATTATTTGATGAAAGAAAGCTGCATAATAAAATAAACAGAATTTGAAATAATTAAAACTAAATCAATAACATATAAAGACACAGTTACTGAGGCAATGAGGAAGATAAAGGATACAACTTTAGACAGCAGCCTCAGTGTCTCTAGATCTTCAAGAATGTTGCTCTGTTTATTGGTCACTAGGAGCAAATACAGAGACTCTATTGGGTGATACACATATCGGACATTTTCAGTCTCAACATATGTGTGTTGTTTCCCTATTCCAACCAATTTGGGAAAAGCTGCAAGATACCCCTCAATTCTTATTCGAGACATATCCACAAATTGCCTCGAAACAAGTGCTGCAAGGAGCATAAAATAATACAGTCAGTCATGGCAATTAGAGTTAAAGGCTGGTTCTGACTGACCCTTTACACAATGAAGCCCACCTCTGTCAAGTAAAAAAACCATTTTTCATCTCTTTTTTCAGCAATGCCAGTTCAATAATTTTCTAAAAGAAAAATACCTTTGCAAGGAGGAAAATGCTATTTAGCCCTACATATACCACTCACAAACTTGCCAATCCCTGATGTGGCAAGTTTTAATAGGTTTGTTTTTCTTTTTTATTTCAAAAATCTCAACCTATTAAAACTTGCTACATCAAGTGGCAAGTTTGTGAGTGATAACATAGTGGCACGTGGCATTGTCCTAAACTGAATAAAAAAATACACTACTAGTCAATGTTTCCCTTCTCCTTCATGTCAAATTGAGATATTAAGGGACTGCCATAAGAGAATATAGGATGAAATTACCTTTCCCAGATTTAGTTATAATGGAAGCAGCCAAAACAACCTGATTCAGAAATTAGAACAACAATCAGCAAATGAATACAATTCATAAGATTCAAGAGCATGCCAATCACCTACATCAACTTATAAATCCAAAAGAATTCAGATTATCCTACAAGATCAGCCATTGCAGGTTAGAATATCTTTTTGGGCGGTGGGACGAAGATAAGGAAATGGAAATTTACCATCTTGATACTTAAAACGGCACGATCGCTTTGCAAAATCGGATATCCGGCAGGCCTGCAACACAAATGCAAATGCAAATACAAATTCAAATCCAGGAAGATGATAACCGAGGAATCAAACAACAACAACATCTCCCCCATAAATCCACGCCAACGCAAAAACATCACAATGCACATCATAATTCGTATATATACACTGATTCAGAGAGTTTTACGATGACAAAATGAACTCGGAGAAGGGGATCAGATCGCAAAAACTGCAGATCTAATGGCAGAATTTTAACTGAGCAAATCGGAAGAAGATCATAGCCGTACGTGGCGGAGATCTGAGAATACCTGAATGAGCAGCTGACGGCGGTGATCAGAGAGAAGCTACAATCGGATCAGTTGATTCAGTTCGCAGTATTGGCGCGGTGCCGGTGGAAATGAGCGCTGGCTGAAGCTCTGTAAAGCCATTTTATTTAGAACTTGAAGACTAAGAAAGAGAAAAAAAACCGTAAATTTCTTTGGACCTATCAAGTTCCTTATAATCTCAATTGGACCCCCTAACTTTTGGAATATTATACTAGAACCTCTATATGTTGTCCAAAAATCAAAATCCAGACATTATCTTGACATGTAATATTCTCTCTATTACATTTTATCTGTCTTACTTAGTATTCATTGGTCAAATTAATTAATTTTTCTTTATTTATTTTTCTTTAGTATTTTTTATTTATAATTTTTTTTTTGGTGTTTAATAATATTTTTAATATAGTGTCTAAATATATAAATTTTGTATACTAATACTAAAGTTATCATAAAAATTGAATTAAAAATAACGGCAATTAAGCCTAGTTAACCGAATCATACATATAAAATGGACGGAGTGAGTATAAAGCAAGTGAATTATGAATATAAATCTAAACACCAAATCGAATATTCAGGTAATTTTGAACTTGATTAAGTTAACTTAGGTTTAGTTTTTAGTTTTTATTTTTTTAAATAGCAGTGAAATATTGAATTTTGACACATCCAATTAGCTTCTTTTTTTTTTTTTTTTTTTTTTTTTTAAATTTTAAAAAAAATATAGTTTTTTTTTTTTTAAATACTCGTGATTCTTTAGAAGGTAGTATTTGTTCTATACTTTCTCAAAAATTTTCACCATCGGAGTTCGAACTTATGACCACCCATTTGGAAAGGTAATTCAATTAGTTCAATCCAATGATCATTAACAACCCAAATGTAGTGATCTAGCTCCGAATGCCAAAACTCGGGGTATGACACGCGTGTATCTGTTCATAACTACTTTCTCAACCTACTGAAGCGCAAACAGTCAATATTGCCGCTGCTGGAGATTAAACCCATGACCTCCCACACTTGGAAGAGCCATTTTGTGCCATTAGATCACAAGGTCATTGACATGCGTGTATGGTTGCATTTAATGCCATTATTCCATTAACATGACAGGCTTGGAGGGCAAATTATGTTGTGCATCCATGGTGCACACGGATGCAAAAACGGCTCGTTTTACTTTTAAAAACAAATTCATTTTCGATTGCTGTTAATTACGTAAATATATGTTCATACTTTTATAATTTCACATTCTGAATGTATAGCTATAAAGTTATGGATGTGTAGTTGTGCATGCAATTCTAAATGTATAGTTATGAAGTTATGGATGTATAATTATGCAATTCTGAATGTATAATTATGAAGTTATAGATGTGTAGTTATGCAATTCTGAATGTATAGTTGTGAAGTTAATGGATGTGTAGTTATGCAATTCTGAATGTATAGTTATGAAGTTATGGATGTGTAATTATGCAATTCTGAAAGTATAGTTATGAAGTTATAGATGTATAGTTCAAATTATGCACAACATAATGTCGTTAACGACAATCGAAACTTTTTTTTTTTAAGTCAGACGTCAATACGACATCGTTTTTGTAACTGTATGCACCATGCTTGGTGCACACGATTGCACAGCATAACGACTCGGCTTGGAGTTACTCCTATCACACAAGTGAGACCAGACATCAACTTGATTAGGTAACTTAAACATATTTTTAATCCAAATTTATAATTACATTCATTTACACATAAGGAATAGCGTGCATAGCCATAAGTAATTACTTCAATAATCAACTTTCATTTTTTAATAGAGCCAGTAGCATTCAAAAAAACTTTCATTTTTTGAGTGATACTGAATAATCAACTTTCATAATATATTACATTTCAACTGATATGAATTATGAAGTATGAACAATAACATTTTGGGGGAAATCTGCCCTCCATTAGGTAAGCTGAATATACCTATTTCAGATATGGTATCAAAAGTAAGCTGAATATCCCTATTTCAGATATGGTATCAAAAGTAAGCTGAATATACCTATTTCAGATTTGATATCAAAATGCAAAAAGGGACTTGCGTTTGCCGGGAGTCGAACCCGGGTCTATTGCTTGGAAGGCAATTATCCTAACCGTTGGACTACAAACGCTTCGTGTTCATTGATGAATGCATAAACGATTTAACACATTTGCAGAAACTTGGAACTTTCATAGGCTTTCAAGAACCAATCTCATAATGCTTCCCCAAACCCCACTGTGATTTGATGAGTCTGATTCACTGATTTAACCTCTCCTTTCAGAATCTCCATTTTTCCAGTGTGCCCAAACTGCGTAAAACCCAAAATAGCTAAACAGGTTCACAAACCCCAACCCACAGTAGCAGAAGGATTGGAAGAACCCACCAACAAAACTCTTTCCGGTGCGGAAAAGTATAAGATTGGGAAGCCTATCAGACAGCCAAGAGACCATCCCAACCATGAAACCATGGCTGAGAACGATCCTCTACGGCTCAGCCCTATGAAGGTCTGAAGCTATTAATCACGCTCTAGTCTCTTGGCCATAGCTCTTCAACCAAGCTTAGTTTCCTGTCTCCTTGGAACTCAAGGATACAGAGGTACGAGCCTATAGAACAGATCCTGTTCAAGTAAGGTCGTGCTCAGTGTTCAAAGGTGGAATATTTTATTTAGGTTTTCAGATTCGTAGTTATTCGATGTGGGATAGGTTGCATTTGAAGACTGAGAGAGCGAACCGTAAATTTACTCAGACCTCTCATGGTTCTTATAATCTCAGTTGAGCCTATAGCTTTTTGAATATTATGCTAAGGCCTCTATCTGTTGTCCAAACATTATGTTATTTATGCGGTAGAGGCTGTGAAACAATTGCCCATCCCTATCTTTTTATGGAATGTGACTTTCCTACGGCTTGCTGGGCTAATTTTGGGGGAATCTCACAAACTACCTGTATGAACATTAGGAATCAAAAACTATGGAATAAGACCTCTATCACTGCGACTCCCATGGTAGCTTTGATACAAACATCAAAAGAGCAAAAGATTGGAAGCCTGTCAGACAGCCAAGAGACCATCCCCAACCACCATGGCTGAGAACGATCCTCTATGGCTCCGCCCAGTGAAGGTCTGGAGCTATTAATCACGCTCTATCTCTTGGCCATAGTTCATCCACCAGGCTTAGTTTCCTGTCTCCTTAGAACTCAAGGATACAGAGGTACGAGCCTATAGAACAGATCCTGTTCAAGTAAGGTCGTGCTCAAATCTCAGAAGTGGAACCTTATATTTTGGTTTACTGATTCTTAGTTTCCCGATGTGGGACAGTTTGCAGTTTTTGGACTATCAGACTAGCGCAAATGGAAGCAATAAGGGTTCAAATTTATTGCAATAATACCAATTGTAGAGTACATTTAAGCAAGATTTCGACAAGAACATCCAAAACAATATCATTTGATTCTCAAAGAATTGGTTATCAGTTCACTGTTCTACAGTACAACAAATACTGATAATTAGGGGTAGGAAAAGAAAAGCTATGATGTTTCATGGGATGGCCAATCAGCACTTTCTCTTTGGCAAGGGAGGAGAGGGGAAGGTTGGGCAATGAATGTTGGGTACTTCTGGCCTGGCATCAACACGGTGTGGGATATCGACTCCTGCACGAAAACCGGTTAGCAAAACTTCAGTTTTTGGTCATGAATCTTGAACATCAGAGAAACATGGCAATTAAGACAGGCTTACATACAGTTAATGAAGAAGTCCCAAGTTTATGTCTGGTTCCTGATTCTAAGTTTACGATGTCTGTCTGGTCGTCGGGTGAAGATAACGAATCCGGGCCTGCAGTGCTGAACAGATACTCAAATATAGCCATGATGAGAAACAGACACATTAGAATGGCTGTGGCTAGAAACCCAAAAGAAACAGCATTCATTGATGAATCAGAACCACCTCTGTGAACAACAACCTGGGATGGACTAGGTTCTGAGCCTCCTGTGTACATGTTCCATGGCCTCGAAATTTCCGAGCTGAACTCATCCATATACCCACTTTGATTTCCACCGCCTTCTGTTCTAACAAAACACGAGAGACTATAACCGGTTCCTCTTATCTTATTCCTTAAAACGGGCCGACAGGATGGTGTTGCTTAGTATGTAAGCACCCTGTGACTGCTAGTTTTCGTGTTCGAGTCGAAAAAAAGGGTATTGTTGAGGCCTATTTATTGAATGGGGTTTTGGTGTCATGGAAGAAACAGACACACACATTACTCCAAAATGTAGTGTTGTTCAAGACTGCACCTCAGGCTAGGTACATGAACTGTATAAAGAATCTGAGATAACACACCCTTTTTGGTTTGAAAAAAATGATGTTTTTGACATTCATCATCCTATGCCTGGCTTAAAGTATACTACACCTTTGTTTTCCATACACATTTGTGGAGATATCTTAAGGAATCAGAAATCTATATGTAATAAATCACAAGTGTTTGGCCCTCTTTTTAACAGACAAAAGCAATAGGTGCCTCTTCTTTTGGGTTTCACGAGAAAAACCTACAGTCACTATCCGATATTGTACACTGGATAAATCTCGTCTTGTGATCCTAATCGGCAATAAAGGACTACAATGAGGTAAATTAGCCTAGGTTGTCCAGGACTAACCAGTTCAAATCAAGATATATATAGCTAATAGGCCGCTCACTGCAGGGATTCGAACATGAAACCTTGTGGTTCAAACTATGTGCCTTTTTTTTTTTTTTTTTTTTTTTTAAATATGACATCCACTATCTCTCCATCACTATAAGACTAACTAAAATTCGACTTAGGTAGCGCTCGGTCGCATACAGAGTTTAACTCTTACAGAATCTATCCTTCGATCTTGACACCTTGTAGTTGCATTAACAATTTGCAAACCAATTTTACCATCTTGATCACTCAAATAGTAAGTGGTATATGCAAATGTTATTGAAAGTTCAAAAAGAGGGAATCAAGCTAAGAAAGATACCAGCAGCCATGATTCAAGTGATGTAGACCAATCCCACATTATTCTTGAAAAAAAATTTCCACTCAACTTCAAGTCCTACTTATTATCCCCACACTCACACCTTTTTTTGTCAGAAGCACTAAGAACTTTTACACTCTTTAGAGAGCCTGAATTATGTGCACAAGTCCAGTTCAAGATTCTTTCCCCCAACTCCCAGACAGAATAAAGAAAAACAAAAGCATATAGAAGCATAATGAGCTTAACAAATTTGGGCAATTTCAAGAAATGAAGCAATAATCTCATGACAAATAAGCACAAATCTTAAATTTATAAACCCTTTTTTAAAAATATATTTAAGAAAAAAGGGGGGTTTTTTTTTTTAATTAAAATGTTAAAATAAATAACAGTTAACTGTTCAAATGAGAAATTGTATTTAAATAGATACTCATTATTTATTGATTCAAAATTCTAATTAAGTTAAACTATAAAAAGTTATATACACGTGGTAAGCCAACCTAAATTACTCACAATTGATGTTATCGAATCAACTTTTCGATTGTAATTAGGTTATCCCTATTAAAGATATGGATAAAAACGTATACCTAAAATGAACATTGAGTTGTGCACTAAGTAACAAAAACTTTTGATGGCAACTTATTACGTGGATTTCTGGACTCGTGACCAAAATACACAATTTACATACTAAATGTTCATAATTTTATAAAAGCTAAATTGTGAACATTTAGTATGTAAATTGTAAATATTAAATGTGTAAATTGTGTATGTAAATTGTAAATATTCAGTATATAAACGGTGTATTTAGGATCTGGGTCCACCTTGTAAGGTGGACCCTATCCGTGGTATAACAACCCAACTTTTGATAGGACCAAAGAAAGGCCATTGAACCAAGTGGCTTGTGGTCCACTGGTATTGGATTGCTCCTCTGTGTAGGAGGTCTAGGTTTTGAGCCTCGTTATAGGCGTAGTTTGTATGGGTATCCCCTTCCTCTGTAATTAAAAAAAAAAAAAAAAAAAAAAAAAAACCCATTGAAAAAGTAAAAATTTATTTATTTGGGCTTTGGGCCTCGGATGGTCAGAATTTCATTGATCCATTTAGCGCACGGATTCAGTTTCATGCCGGAGCTAGTTAAATATATAGGCTCAATATCCAAACCTTACCAAATTTTGACAATTGTAGTCAAGTAATCCTATATATAATAAAGCCTTATCACCATTTAATTTTCACAAGACCATAATAATATTGTTAATTATAATAACAATAACAATAATTGCAATAATAATAATAATGATAATAATTTTCACTGACTGTTTATAATATATATATATATATATATATATATATATATATATATATATATATATATATATATATATATATATATATTTATTTATTTATTTATTATATTTATTTATATTTCAATTTTTACTCGCAAATTATTGTGTGAACGATGGTCCACATAATTGTATGGATCATGAATATCAAATACATTTTTAATATATTAAAAATACATTATTTTTATATTGAAAGTACCTTACATACATATATAATGTACCCTTAGTATATTTAAAATATACTTTTTATTGCATGCAACCCCAAAGTTCATAAGTTTGAAATTAATATATGGCATAGCTAGGCGGCTTAATATTTAAGATTGTTGATGTGCATATAGAGGACTACGGAGACAAAGATGCGTTATTCGTGGATTCATCGGATACTATCCAACAACACTCTCCAACTTAATTGACGTGAAGTAGGCTTTGTAACATTAATGTTATATTCTCGAATTATTAGTTCTCATCTTTTATTGATTACACACTTAATTCGATAGTATTTGGAAGAAAAAATCAATGTTCGAACTAAGATTATGATTTTGGTCTTTAAAGGTCAATTGTATGTTGCTACATCTAGAGTTAGAAATCTCAAAGGTCTAAAAATTTTGATCCGTGGTGACTCTAAAATTGTAATTCAATTACTATTCTAGTTTACTAAGTTCTTAAAATTTTGTAATATTAAATACTATGTACTAAATTTTTAATATAGTTTAAGATTTGTAGTAATCACCCACCTTAAATATTATTTTAATTGTAAATATATTTATGTTCATAATTTTATCATAGGAATTCACACATAATAATTATTAAATAACAAAAATTTTATATATGAATAAACCTAATATAGGGTATATTTTTATAACATATCTTTCGTGCATCGCACGTGACAAATACTAGTTTAAAATAAAAAAGGAATAAGGGTCAAATAGGCCATCCAACTGCACACAATAATGCAATTAGGCCACTGAACCTAAAAAAACAACAATTAGATCCCTAAATTAACAATTTTCTTGCAATTAGTCTAATTTGTAAGTTTTCTAGGTTGCTAGCAGGTCACCTTTAATTTAAAATATTTTTTTAAAAAATTTAAAGTATTTTTTAAAATTTTATTATTTAAAATAATTATTTAATTTTTTTTTTTTAAAAAAAAAAAAAGAAAAAAAAGAGAAGAAGATCGTCTCCGGCCATGGATTCGTCTCCATGGCCGGAGACCTCTTCTTCTCTGGCCGGCCGGAGACGAAGAAGTTATCTTCGCCTCCATGGCCAGAGACGAAGAGACTCTTCGTGTTTCTTCGTCTCCGGCCATGGAGACGAAGATAACTTCATCGTCTCCGGCCATGGAGACGAATCCATGGCCGGAGACGATCTGTTACGTTCTTTTTTTTTAAAGTTTTAAATAATTATTTTAAATAATAAATATTTTTAAAAATATTTTAAATCGAAGGTGACTTGCTAGCAACCTAGAAAACTTACAAATTAGACTAATTACAAAAAAATGGTTAGTTTAGGGATCTAATTGTTGCTTTTTTAAGTTCAGTGGCCTAATTGAATTATTGTGTGTAGTTCGATGGTCTATTTGACCCTTATTCCAATAAAAAAAATATAGAAAAGTTCTTTATTACCAACAAGGCAATGAGGCTATAAAAAAAATATAAAAGTTATTTATTACCAACAAGGCAATGAGGCATAGCATCTTTTTACGAATCTAATAAAGTTAAGTTTATAACGGAAACTATAAAATGTTGTCTAATTAGACACGTATGTATGTAGCGAGAGTGGAAATTCGTGAAGGTACACTTCTCATTTCCCTTGCTATAAATAAAAGAGTGCAATAATACAATAATATTTTTGTAAGGAATAAGGTTCAAATTGGCCACTGAACGTAACCTGAAAATGCAATTAGGCCACTGAACGAAAACAAAATGCAATTAGGCCACTGAACACTCCAAAAATGTGCAATTTCACCTTATAGCAGGTTACCCTCAATTTTAGCAGGTTATCTGCTTACGTGGCAGCTGAGTTGGCATTTTTAATAAATTTTAAATCATTTTTAATAAATTTTAATAATAAATTTTTATTTTAAAAAATTTTAAAAAAATAAAAACGACTTTATTTTATTTTTTATTTAATTTTTTTTTCAATTTTTTATAAAATTTATTATTAAAATTAATTATTAAAAATTATTTAAAAATTATTAAAAATGCCAACTCAGCTGCCACATAAGCAAGTAACCTGCTAAAATTGATGGTAACCTGCTATCCGGTGAAATTGCATACGTTTGGAGAGTTCAGTGGCCTAATTGCACGTTTTTGGAGTGTTCAGTGGCCTAATTGCACTTTTTGTTCGTTCAGTGGCCTAATTGCATTTTCAGGTTACGTTCAGTGGCCAATTTGAACCTTATTCCTTTTTGTAAATTGAATGATACGGAGTAATTATTTACAAATGAGTGATGCTAGATACCTCTCATATTCCCATCCCTTTCCCTCCCCCTCCCCCCCACTCTCCCACACCCTCCCCCTCCCCCTCCCCCTCCCCCTCCCGTGCCCAATTCCATCCCTCATGATGTGACATTTTCTAATTAGTTACTACATTTTCTTTTTAATTAGTGATGGAGTCAGCTAATTTATGGGCACCCAATGAATGGAAGCCACATCATGGGGTAAATTAATGAGGGGTAAGAAGCATTTTACAAAAACTAGTTTTTGCCCCG